GGATCCATTGGATGGGAAAATCCATCAAAAAACTGGGAATGGGCAGGAAAATCCACCCAGGAAATCCAGCCAAAAAACCGGGAGAAAAGGCAGGAAAATCCAGCCAAAACAAACGGGAGAAAGGGCAGGAAAATCCAGCCAAAAAACTGGGAAAAGGGGCAGGAAAATCCAGCCAAAAAACTGGGAAAAGGGGTAGCAAAATCCAGCCAAAAAACTGGGAAAAGGGGCAGCAAAATCCAGCCAAAAAACTGGGAAAAGGGGCAGGAAAATCTGCTCCTCCTGCACAAAATTCCAGCCAATTCCAGTTGATTCCCGGTGGGCTTTTCCTTCAATTCCCACTTCCAGCGTTTTCCTCCTGCCCTGTTTATTCCCGTTTTCCTGTTGTTCCTTGAGCTGGTTCCCTCTCTCCTCCCCAAAACACCCAGCGGATATTCCCTGAATTCCCTGGAAATTCCTCCCAGGAATCCCTGATCCCATCCCATTCCCAAGGAAATCCGCTGGTGGGATGGGGGTGCTGGGAGCAGCACACCTGAAGCAGGAATCCAAATTCCCCGATGGAATCGCAGCCAAATTCCGGAGGATTTTGGAGCTGGAGACTCGGCTCCCTTCCCTCCGGAATTCCCTGCAGTTCCCTGGGATGAGCCCAATCCCTGGGATCTGTTCCCGGTGCCATTCCCAAGCAGCTTTCCTGCTCTGGAGGGAGGAAATTTGGGAAAAGCAGGGAAAAATTGGGGAAATCAGGAAAATCGGGCAGAATCGGGAAAATCGGGGAAAATTGGGAAGATCTGGAAAAATCGGGAAAATTGGGGGAAATTGGGGAAAATTGGGGAAAATCAGGAAACTCGGGACAAATCAGGGAACAATTAGGAAAATTGGGAAAATTCAGGAAAAATGGGGAAGTTGGGGAAATCTTGAAAAAGTGGGAAAATCAGGGGAAATCGGGAAAATCAGGGGAAATGGGGGAAAATCAGGAAAAAACGGGGAAAATTGGGAAAAATTGGGAAAAATTGTGAAAAATCGGGAAAAATCGATGAAAATTGGGAAAAATAGGGAAAAATTGGGAAAAATTGGGGAAAATCGAGAAAAATCAGGAAAAATCGGGAAAGATCAGAAAAAAACTGGGGGGAAATCGGGAAAAATTGGGAAAAATAGGGAAATATCATGAAAATCAGGAAAAAAATCAGGAAACTCGGGGAAAATCAGGAGAATGGGGAAAATCCCGAGGTGACCCCATGGCCTCCCCCAGGGCTCCGGTGGCCACCACGAGGCTCCCAAGGAGAGCTCGGAGCTGGCCCGGCCCGAAGCCAAGGGCAGGAAATGCTCCGGCCACGGCAGCAGCCACAAGGGGAAGAAGACGGGAAGCGGGAAAAGCTCTGGAGGCTTCGGAACGGCCGCGCCCGGAGGAACCTTCCAGGCAGCGGGTGAGGAGGAGGAGGAGGAGGAGGGAGGGAGGAGGAAGGAGGAGGATGGGAAAGATGAAGGGGGGAGGATGAATAAGGAGGAAGAGGAGGAGGAGGGAGAGGGGAAGGATGAAGGAGGAGGGAGAGGAGAGCGAGGAAGGGGAGAGGGATGAAGGACAGAAAGAGAGGGATGAAGGATGAGGAAAAGGAGAGTGAGGAAGGGGAGAGGGATAAGGGAGGAGGAAGAGGAGTGGGATGAAGGGGAAAAGGAGAGGGATGAGGGAGGAGGAAGAAGAGCAGGATGAAGGATGAGGAAAGAAGAGAGTGAAGAAGGGAAGTTCCTGGTGATGAAGGATGAGGAAAAGGAGAGCGAGGAAGGGGAGAAGGATAAGGGAGGAGGAAGAGGAGAGGGATGAGTGAGGAAGGGGAGAGGGATAAGGGAGGAGGAAGAGGAGTGGGATGAAGGATGAGGAAGAGGAGAGTGAAGAAGGGAAGTTCCTGGTGATGAAGGATGAGGGAAAGGAGAGCGAGGAAGGGGAGAAGGATAAGGGAGGAGGAAGAGGAGAGGGATGAAGGGGAAAAGGAGAGGGATGAGGGAGGAGGAAGAGGAGCAGGATGAAGGATGAGGAAAGAGGAGAGTGAAGAAGGGAAGTTCCTGGTGATGAAGGAGGAGGAAGAGGAGAGGGATGAAGGATGAGGAAGAGGAGAGTGAAGAAGAGGAGAGGGATGAGGGAGGAGGAAGAGGAGCGGGATGAAGGATGAGGAAGAGGAGATCAAGGAAGGGAAGTTCCTGATGATGAAGGAAGAGGAAGAGCAGCACGATGAAGCACCAGCCCCCCTGCCGTGCCCTGCTCGCTGCCCTCTGAGCTCTTCCCTTCCCTCAGGCTCCTCCTGCGGCCTTCCCGCCTCCCAGGACCTGCTGCCCTTCCCCAAACTGGAGCAGGAGGACGAGAAATTCCGCAAAGCCTCCGGCTCCGCCTCATCCTCGCGCTGCTCGCCGCTCTCCGAGGCTGCCAAGACCGACGCCTTCGAGCAGAAGGTGATCTTCTCCGGCTTCGGCTCCGTCATGCGCTTCTCCACCTCGGCCGCGGCCCCGCCGCGAGCCCGCGACGCTTCCCCCGTGGATTACAAAGGTTCCGGAGGCTCCGCGGCCGGATCCGCGGCCGGCCACAAGCGGATGCCGCCGCTGGGCGCCGAGGAAGGCGAAGGCCTCAAGGAGAAGAAGCACAAGGGCAGCAAGAAGAACAAGCACGGCCCTGGCAGGCCCAAGGCGGGCAAAGGGAAAGAGGTTCTGGGGGCTCAGCTGGCCGGATCCACCTCCACCTCGTCCTCGCCCTTCTCCGGGGGATCCCTCGTCAGCTCCAGCGTCGGGAATTCATCCCGGAGTTTTGGCCATCCTGGGAGTCTGCCCAGCCTCAGCGTGGAGTCGCCGCTGCTGGGCTCAGGTGTGTCCTCCCTTGAGGGATCCGTGCGTGTGCTGAGGGCCCTTTGCCAGAAAGTTCCGGAATTTTCCAGCCCTTTACACAACTTTCCAGCCTTTTCCATAATTTTCCAGCCTTTTCCAGAATTCCCAACCCTTTTCCAGAACTTCCCAGCTTTTTCTGGAATTTTCTAGAATTTTCCAGCATTGCCCAGCCTTTTCCATTGCTTTGTGAATTTTCCCAGACTTTCCCAGCCTTTTCTAGAATTTTCCAGACTTTTCCACAGTTTTCCAGCCTTTTCCAGCATTTGCAGACTTCTCCAGAATTTTCCAGATTTTCCTAGAATTCCCCAGGTTTTTTTCTAGGATTTCCCAGCCTTTTCCAGAATTTTCCAGCCTTTTCCATTGCTTTGCAGAATTTTCCATCCTTTCCCAGCCTTTTCCAGAATTTTCCAGCACATTGAGCCATGTCCAGACCTGCCTGCATGGAGCTCTGTCCCTTGAATCCATAAAAATCCGCATCCCGTTCCATCCCAGCCTTCACCCTGGAATTTCCCCCCCAGATCAGCTTCCCGAAATTTGGGGTGCAGATCCGAGCTGGGAACATCCCAACCCCTTTTGTCTCCTCCACTCCCGGCCAGGGCTGAATTCCCAGCTGGATAAAACTGGGAATATTCCGGGACCCCACGCCGGGGGCTCTCCGGAGTGGTTCCGTTTAACCCCCCTCGTATGGAAACAAAACTTCTCATCCCGGTGTTCCCACATCCAGCGGGGCTGGGAGGCACCAGGAACTCCCAGGAACTCCCAGTAATTCCCAGAGCTCCCAGTGGAACCCCTTCCCTGGACTGGGGAGGGATACTGGGCTGGGAACTGCTGTGATATCAGGCAGGAAAGGGTTAATGCAGATGGGAAAGGAGGGGCTCCAACACTGCATCCCGACTGTTCTCAATCCCGACTGTTCCTATCCTGACTGTTCCTGTCCCGACTGTTCCCAATCCCGACTGTTCCCAATCCCGACTGTTCCCAATCCCGACTGTTCCCAACCCTGAGTGTTCCCAATCCCAACTGTTCCTGTCCCAACTGTTCCCACTCCCAACTGTTCCCATTCCCGAGTGTTCCCTGTCCCTTCCTGCTGCTTCCAGAGGGGGAGGGACAGGAGGGAATGGCGGCTCCCTGACCCTTAGGAGAGAGAAAAGCGGGAATGGTGACTCCGTAACCCTCGGGAGAGGCAGGATAAGAGGGAATCTCTCCATAAACCTCAGGAAAAGTGGGATAAGGAGGAATCTCCACAACCCTCAGGATAGTCGGGATAGTCGGGAATGTGCTCTCCCCAATCCTCAGGATAGTCAGGACAGTGGGGACAGTGGGGATAGTCGGGAATGTGCTCTCCCCAACCCTTGGGATAGTCAGGATAGTTGGGACAGTGGGGATAGTCGGGAATGTGCTCTCCCCAACCCTTGGGATAATCAGGATATTCGGGACAGTCGGGAATGTGCTCTCCCCAACCCTCAGGACAGTCAGGATAGTCGGGACAGTGGGGATAGTCAGGAATGTGCCCTCCCCAACCCTGGGCATAGTTGGGACAGTCGGGAATGTGATCTCCCCAACCCTTGGGATAGTCGGGATGGTCAGGATAGTCAGGATAGTTGGGAATGTGATCTCCCCAACCCTTGGGATAATCGGGATAGTCGGAACAGTCAGGAATGCACTCTCCCCAACCCTCGGGATAGTCGGGAATGCACTCTCCCCAACCCTTGGGATAGTCGGGATAGTTGGGATAGTAAGGAGAGTGGGGATAGTCGGGAATGTGCTCTCCCCAACCCTCGGGATAGTCAGGAGAGTCGGGACAGTTGGGAGAGTCAGGACAGTGGGGACAGTTGGGATAGTTGGGAATGTGCTCTCCCCAACCCTCGGGACAGTCGGGATAGTCGGGATAGTTGGGACAGTCGGGAACGTTCTCTCCGGCAGGGATCTACACGAGCAACAAGGACCCGATCCCGCTGGGCGCGGCGCTGCGGGCGGCCTGCAGCACCCCGCTGCCCTCGGCGCTGCTCCCGCTGCAGGGCGGCGCCGGCCTGGCCCAGCTGGGCCGAGCGCCCTTCGCCAGCTCCATCCCCGCCTCCGCCGCCGGCTCCACCACACAGGTAACCACGGAAACGGCCGGGATCCGGGATCCAGAGCGGACAGGGAACGGGATTGGGGCCGTTGGGGTTGGGATGGTTGGGATTGGGATGGTTTGGATTGGGATGGTTTGGGTTGGGATGGTTGGGATTGGGAGCACTGGGGATTGGGATGGTTGGGATTGGGAGCACTGGGGATTGGGATGGTTTGGATTGGGATGGTTTGGATTGGGATGGTTTGGGTTGGGATGGTTGGGATTGGGATGGTTTGGGTTGGGACAATCAGGATTGGAAACATTCAGGATTGGGATAGTCAGGATTGGGACAGTTAGAATTGGGACAATCGGAATTGGAGCAATCAGGATTGGAAACATTCAGGATTGGGACAATTGGGATTGGAACAGTCGGGATTGGAAACATTCAGGATTGGGACAGTCGGGATTGGGACAGTTGGGACAAGGAGCACTCAGGATTGGGATAATCTGGATTGAAAATATTCAGAATTGGGACAATTGGGATTGGGACGGTCGGGATTGGGAGCACTTGGGATTGGGACAGTTGGGAAAGGGAGCACTCGGGATTGGGACGATCGGGATTGAAAACATTTGGGATTGGGACAGTCAGGACTGGAACAATTGGGATTGGAACACTCGGGATTGGGAACAGTTGGGACAGGGAACACTCAGGATTGGGACATGCCATCCCCACCCTGGATCCCAGTATCCCCCGGCAGTTCCATCCCCACCCCAAATCCCCAGATCCCCCAGCAGTTCCATCCCCACCCCGATCCCCGGATCCCCTGGCAGTCGATCCCTGCCGGAGCTGTCCCACCGGGAAGAGCGACCGGCTCCACCCCATTCCCACGGCTCCCGGCCGGCTCTGGGAACGTGCCAAGCCTCTCGCCAGACTTCCAGGAGATATTTTTAACACGGGAACCGGGAAGCGCCGGAATAACGAGGACATTCCCCCGTTCCCCACGCAGGTGTTTTCCCTGGCCGGTTCCACCTTCAGCCTCCCTTCCTCGCACATTTTCGGGAGCCCCCTGACGTCGGGGCTGTCCCTGAACCCCCTCCTGAGCCAGCCGGAGAGCAGCCGGGCAGGTACGTGAATTCCCAGGTATGTCCGAGTTGGCATTCCCGAGGGCTTTCCCACCGCTGCATTCCCAGCTTTTCCAGCTGGTTTTCCACTCTGGGACAGCCAGGGGGGGACGGGGGGGTCGCGTTTTCCTGCGGCACCTCTGGAGTGACCCTGGAGAATGAGGATCCTGGAGGATCCTGGAGGATTGGGCATTCCTGGGGAATGCTGGGGGGGCATGGAGAATTGGGTGTCCCTGGATAAGGAGTGGCTCAGGAGAATGGATATTCCCGGGGAATGGATATTCCCAGAGAATGGGTGTTCCTGGAGAATGGATATTCCTGGAGAATGGATATTCCTAGAGAATGGATATTCCCAGGGGATTGGATATTCCTGGAGAATGGATATTCCAAGGGAATGGATTTTCCTGGAGAATGGGTGTTCCTGGTGAATGGATATTCCCAGAGAATGGATATTCCCAGGGATTGGATATTCCCGGAGAATGGATATTCCCGGAGAATAGATATTCCCGGCAATTGGATATTCCTGGAGAATGGATATTCCAAGGGAATGGATATTCCTGGGGAATGGGTGTCCCTGGATAATGGATATCCTGGGATAAGAGGTATCCATCCCTGGATAACAGGGGTTCCTGGATAATTGAGTGTCCCTGGATAATGGATATCCCGGGATAACTGGTGTCCTTGGATAACAGCTGTCCCTGGATAATTGGGTGTTCCCAGATAATGGGGTGTCCCTGGATAATGGATATTCCTGGGAGAATGGGTTTCCTTGGATAATGGATATCCTGGGATAATGGGTGTCCCTGGATAATGAAAATCCCGGGATAACAGGAGTCCCTGGATAACAGGTGATCCCTGGATAATGGACATCCCAGGATTCCTGCATGGAATTACTTTTCCCCTCCCAAATTCTGCTCCCCTGTGCCGTCATTTCAGTCCCCCCCAGGAATAACCCCGGGATCCAGGAATCCCGAATCAGGAATGAGCCATGGAGGCAAAATCCAATCATCCAAAGTCCTCAAAAAAACCCCAGGATCCTCAATTCCTTTTTCCAAAATCCCTCTTTTTGTCTGACTGGGATTTTAGGAGCTTCAGGATGGGGATTTTTCTTCCCAGTTCCAGACAGATTTTGGGGACAGCTCCCAGTTTTTGTCACGTTTTGGGTTTGGATTTGGTGGCCCAGAGGCTGCTCAGCCAAATTCCTGCTGGTTTTTTTTCCAGAGGATCCATTAGCATCAAACCTCCCATGTGGGGCCGTTTTCCCTGAAAAACCTGGAGGTTCCTTTAATCCCAGATTTTTACAGGATGCTTGGGAAGCTCCCTTGTCTTTAACCCCGATTCCTTTTCCCGGGAGAGGGAGATCCCATGGAGACAGCTCAATATTCCACCTTTTCCCAATTTTTCCGTGCTGGACGATGTGATTCCAGCCGTGGGAACAGGGAATTCCTTCAGGTTCATCCCTTGGGCAGCACAAAAATCTGGTTTTTATCCGAGCTCCTGCCTCCACCTTCCTGCCACGGCTTTTCCGGGATCCTGATGATGACGGAACAGATGGATTTGTCATTCCCGGTTTTCTCCAAGCCTCGGGAAGGGGCTGTCCCTGGGGGAGAACTCCGTCACCTCCCGCTCCGGTGATGGAATGTGGGGCTGTCCCGGGCACCGGGACGGTGTCAGCATTACGGGGAATGAGCAGGGAGACAAAAATCCCGGGATTTTGGAAGCCGGGATGGTTTTGGGGGCTGGAGAGGTTTCTGTGGGATCACGGAGTGGTTGGGGCTGGGAAGGACCTTTAGGATGATCCATGGGCAGGGACACTTCCCGTTATCCCAGGCTGCTCCAGCCTGGCCTCGGACACTCCCAGGGATCCGGAGGCAGCCCCAGCTTCTCCGGGAATTCCATCCCATCCCCTTGCCACCCTCGCAGGGAAGAATTCCATCCCAAAATCCCATCCCTATCCCAGTTTGAGCCCATTCCCCATGTCCTGTCCCTCCATCCCGTGTCCCAAGCCCCTCCTGGAGCCCATTCCAGCACTGGAGCCGCTCCGGGATCTCACACCGGGAAATTCTGGCCACATCCAGGAATGTGGATTCCTCCCGCCTGGAAAAGCGTCCCGGGACAATCCCAACCCAGCGGGACATTCCCGAGGGGAGGATGAGGGATCCGGGATCCCCCCGGCTCTGTCCGGAGGAGCCCCAGCTGCGTTTGCTCATTCCCAGCCGCAGGAAATCCCTGGCTCCCCGCTGGGAATCGCGGCATTCCCAGCAGGAGATTCCCGGGATTCCTGCGGGTGGGAATGTGTGGGGAAGGAGAGGAAGGGCAGGGAGGCAGCTGGAGCCAAACCATCCGACAGGGCCCGGGGAGAGGGGAGCGAGCGCTCCAGGGATGGGAGGATAAATCCGGGATTTATCCTGGATTACCCTTGGAACGGGAGAGATCCTGCACGTGCGCACAGCGGCCCCATCCCGGATTTTCTGGGGCGCAGGGAAGGTTCTGGATGGTTCTGGATGGTTCTGGAAGGTTCTGGGTGCTGCTGAGGGCACACTCAGCTCCTGGGGGCTGTTCTGGGATCTCCCCAAGGAGGACACGGAGAGGCCGGAGCATGTTCAGGGAAGGGTTTGGAGTGCTGAAGGAGCCGGGAATGTTTATCCTGGGGAAAAGTGGGATGGGGAGGGACTTCCTGGATCTCCAGAAATCCCTGCCAGGAGGGGACAGCCAGGGGGCTCCGCTCCCCGGGAACAGGGACAGGAGGAGAGGGAGCGGCCTCAGGCTGGGCCGGGGGAGGTTTGGATGGGATATTCGGGAATTTTTCCGCATGGAAAGGGACAGGACCCCATCCCTGGAATTGCTCAGCAAGGCGCGGATGTGGCGCTTGGGGACACGGCTGAGCCGGGTTAATGATTGCCCTCGCTGACCTTGGAGGGCTTTTCCAGGCTTCCATTCCCTGATTCCCTGGAAGCTTCTTAGAGAGGAGCCGGGAACCTTCTGGAACCGCGGCCGGCTGTGGGGAAAGGATCCCCAATCCTGGCTGGTCTTGGAGCTCTTTTCCAACCACATCGGTTCTGTCACGGCCTGGAGAGCGGCAGCCGATCCCCCGGGATTCCCGGATCCACCGGGGCAGGGATTCCCGGATCCACCGGGGCAGGGATTCAGCCCTCGCTCCTTCCCGGCAGCTCCGGGAAAAGCGGCTCCTCGGGCTGTGGCGGGCCCGGGGGGACCTTACCGGGGTGGCCACGCGGTGCTGTGGTGCCAGGTGGTGCCAGACAGTGCCAGGCGGTGCCAGGAGGTGCCAGCAGGTGCCAGCAGGTGCCAGGTGGTGCCAGGAGGTACCAGGCAGTGCCAGGAGGTACCAGGCGGTGCCGGGAGGTGCCAGGAGGTGCCAGCAGGTGCCAGGTGGTGCCAAGAGGTGCCAGGCAGTGCCAGGAGGTGCCAGCAGGTGCCAGGAGCTGCTCCTCGGGACTGTTTGGGGGTTTTTGGGGCCATTCGGTTCTGGTGCCGCCCAGTACCACCCAGTTCCGTCCAGTAGGATCACACCGGGATCACACCGGGATCACACCGGGATCACTCCGGGATCACTCCGGGATCACACCGGGCACACACCGGGGTCACACCGGGATCACACCCGGCACACACTGGGATCACACCAGGGTCACACCGGGGTCACACCGGGATCACACCCGGCACACACCGGGGTCACTCCGGGATCACACCAGGGTCACACCAGGGTCACACAGGGATCACACCCGGCACACACCAGGGTCACACCGGGATCACACTTGGCACACACTGGGATCACT